TAAATAAATAAATAAATAAATAAATAAATAAATAAATAAATAAAATACTGCAATAATGTATTGATGGGTGCATAATAAAAATGCAGTGTCAGTTCAAAGTATAGTGTAGGAAGGAAATGTGAAGAGAGCAGATTTTCAATATTTTCACCACAAGGAAATACGATGTATAAGCAGTGATGGGTATGCTAATTAGCCTGAGTTAATAATTTCATAATACATGCATTTATAAAATTATTGTATTTTATACCATAAATGTATACAATTTGTAGTGATCAAATTTATCTTAGTAAAAGTGATGGAGTAAGAAAAGACCCTTAATGGCAGAATCACCCTTCCCCACCAAAATATAGATTATAAAATTTGGGAGTTATAAAGGGATTAGGGGAGGTAAAGAGAAACATCAGATCATTAACATCAACATCTAGAAAGACAAGAGTAGGATATTGTTAATTAATGGACCCAGAAATATATGTAAAAATGTCACTTAAGATTAAGGTAAGTTAATTCAAAGATTTCAAACTTTTTTTTCCCTAGCCTAATTTGCTTTTATTTTTTATTTATTTATTTATTCATAAAATTTTCTATTGAGCTTTTGTACATTTCATACAATGGTTCTTAATCAAATTTAAACCCCGTCCTCAATCCATACCTTCATATCCCCCAACATCGGACCTCATGTATTCCACCATACATGTTAAGCCCTATCTGATCAAGCATTTGTACCAAGATGTCTTTTGGTACAAGTTCATCCACTGGAGTCTAGTCAGCCTACAGAGATTTCAAAGTCTTTAATAAATCCAAAGATTTAGAATTAATGTCATCTTGGTGATAAAGGGAAAAGTCAATCAAAAAAAAAACTTCCTGTTTATTTACATCTTTCCAAAACCAAGGAAATAAATTGAAATATTAAGATTAAGACTCAACTTACTGACAGCAGGGTTGCTGTCAATGCACTGTCCTTAAGGAATGAATTATTTTGTTCTTATTTTTTATTTTTCTAAATTACAAATGCTCCCTTTATTACCTAAAGCCAATAGTGCTACTTTCAGGTTCAACTGTTAGTGCATTTCTGCACTGGTGACACCTGTGACGTTAACACCACTCACTTCCAAGCAGCCTTTGGGCAACAATCCATGGTACCTGCTCCCCACTTCACACACAGCTGGAAAACTGTTCTATGAATTTACATTCAACCAGGACACAGAGAAAATAGACTCAACACTCTGTCACATATTGTACTAGATGCAGACAAGTTCTAAAGGAGATGAAAGATCTCACAAGTGTCTCGGCTTATCAATGCACTGCTTTATCAGTTTCCTTAACAAAGCAGATTTCAACAGAGCCTTAATTTGCATTACAGTTAGCTATTACAAAATGTTGCCCATTCTCTTGAGGATATATCATGATTTCCAAGACACAAGGTCATTCAAGGCAGCCTCTCAGCCCTTGGGAGCCTCTCGCTGCTGGTACCGGGCTGCATCTCACAGTCCAGCAATGAACTTGGAATGATGCTTCGCATCAGTGTGAAGTGTG